ACCTGGCAGCTTGGACCAGATTTTCTGCGAGATCAAGTGGAGCAATGGCCAATATAGCAGAGCTGTTCTGAGAACAACCTCCCAAAGAGAGTCAAAGTTGTGATAACTGCCGATGCCATAGAAGTCGATACACTATCCGACAGGATCAATATCGAACGATATAGTAGCTACACTAGACTCCTGCAGGTCACGGCAAGAGTGATGAACATTTACAAAAGGAAAACGTTCTCTGGTGCTGTAGCTACACCAACAGCAAAGGAAATTAACGATGCAGAGTTGTTCTGGATTATTGATGACCAGTATGCTAAATTATCCCCAAGAGTTCGAGACGATGGTGTCATTGTGGTGGGAGCTCGGGCCCAAAGACACATTAATTTCATTTACAACAACCAGGAAGTGCCGCTATTGCCAGCACACCATAGATTTTCGAAGTTATACGTTACACATGCGCACAAAAGGAGTCATTGTGGAGTACAGTCAACTGTGGCCCGGGTTCGTTTGAGATACTGGATACTAAATCTACAGAGAGTGGCTAAGAGTGTTAGACATCATTGCGTACCCTGCAAGAAAAGAAAAAGAGATATGTCTGGACAGCAGATGGGCCAGCTACCCCTGGGACGATTGAGACCCTCTCCTCCATGGTCATACATCGGCATTGACCTGTTCGGCCCGTTTACGATTCGTGGTGAGGTCAACAAGAGGGCTAGGGGAAAGGCCTATGGGATTGTGTTTAGCTGCTTCGTCACTCGAGCCGTACATCTAGACCTTGCCACTGACTATGGCACAAGTAGTTTCCTACAAGTTTTTCGTAGGTTCGTGTCAATAAGGGGGTATCCAGCCGAAATATACAGTGATGGTGGTAGTCAATTGGTTTCTGCCTCAAAGGAGTTAAAGCGAGTAATGGATGGTTGGGAGAAGTGTGATCTTCGTGAATTTGGCATCACCAATGGCACTACGTGGAAATTCTCGGCAGCAGACTCTCCTTGGCAGAATGGAGTGACAGAGATACTGATCAAAGGTATAAAGAAAGCAATACACCATGCTATTGGGGACCAGGTTCTTCCATACAACGAGTTGCAGACTGTGCTTTTTGAGGTATCCAACTTAGTGAATGAAAGACCAATAGAGAGGCATCCAACCAATCCTGAAGACGGTGCATATCTGTGTCCAAACAATATGTTATTGGGACGTGCTACGACTAGAGTTCCAAGTGGACCTTGGAAGATCACAAATAACCCCCGGCATCGTGTCGAGTTTATCCAGAACATAATCAAGGCTTTCTGGATAAAATGGAATAGGGATTACTTTCCATCATTGATTATAAGACAAAAATGGCACCATGAGAAGAGAAACATGCAGATCGGTGATGTGGTGTTACGGTGCAAGACAGCAACGTGGTTCGTGGAAAGTGGAGAATGGGGTTGATTACCGATGTGTATCCCGATATGAGTGGCAAAGTAAGGACAGTGCAAGTTCAGTTAAAAGGTGAAGAGAGAAACGGAAAGCAAATGATAACTCGAGCGGTGCAGAGACTGATAGTACTCGTGCCTGTGGATAGTGTCGATGAATAGTTAGTTTTTTTTTTTGTTTTTTTTTGTGGGGGCGGAGTGTAATGTTTTTGATAATCTCTTAGTCTTAGACAGCGCCCTCTGTGTCTTAATAGCAAATGACATTCTCAAGGTCAGAGATCACACCAAGGTGTTGCATACACACATGTATACATGTGAGATGAGAATAAGAATTCCTGTGATTTATAATCTTTAGTGTAGACGTTAAACAGTGTAAGATCATAATCATCATTTTATACATTAAGAAAGCTATGAGTAACCAATGCTATCATATTTAGTGAAGAAGCAGTTGATTAATTTAGATTTAGAGTTTTAGTTACTGTTATGTTATTATGTGACCACCTTTTGAGTATGTCCTTTTGAGTATGTACATCATACTAATATGGGCCTAGTGATGATTCTTTAATAGTTATAGCTGATTTGATAGAATGGTAATTAGTTGTATCGTTATCTTGCAGATTTCGAACATTGTGAACTTTGATTATCTGTTGTGGATTAAAGGATGTTTGAAAACGTTTAAACGTGTGACACGGGTATTCTTTACAGTTTATACTGTAGGGATATCTCCAAAATACAATTTACACAAACATATTGTATTTCTTATTTAATAGCAGCAATTATGCGACCATACATATTCATACAAATTTGAATGACATTATTTACTCCCCTATATATCTTGTATACAGTATTTTACCTCATTCTTTATATTTACATCAGCCCCGGCATCCAAAAGAAGTCTTGCAATATTAAGGTGATCTCTGAATTTATGTTTGGCTTCTAACAGCTTGTGAAGTGGAGTCTCTTTATACTGTAACACATTGGAAACAAAGAGAGTGAATGAATAAATGACAGCTCATATGATCATATTAATCAACATTCAAAGGAAATCCACACTTATTCTTAAATTTTAAACATTAATAATATAAAATACTAGTGCACAATAATACAATTATACTGAATGAGTGGGTAGGAATACAAACAAAAGTAATTTTTTTCTGCTTGATTCTCTCTCGCCCGGTTCATCACTTTTAAGGATGTAACCTCGGGAGAAGTATTTATTATTTATTTATTCATTAATTAATTTAATTTTTTTATTGTTTGCATCATGTTATGTAAATTGCAATATTTTTTGTACAAATATATTTCATATGAATTGAAATAAAAGTGACTTAACATCAACATTCAATGACTATAAATCAATATAATTAAGAGAAATTGTGATACAAATAATGTAAAATAGTAATTTAAGCAATCATATTTACGTTTCCGTTTCCGTTCCTTGGCACGTACTGGCCAAGGACATTTATTTCAACTTTTATATAAGGCCTTCGGCCCAAATAAAATATAATAGCTATTTACAGAGGGAATGATCACTTCTACGTTTAAATGAGTGATAAAGAAATTTACATAAACAACTTATTGTATTGATATCAGTAGTGGACATTAATTGAGTAAACTTAACTTTGGATGGATTAACAATAAAATACTTGAATATATAATGTTTACGAATATCAGTGTAACAAGGGCAAATTAAAGTAAAATGGTACTCATCTTCAACTAAATTTAATGTACAATGTTTGCATAATCTATCTTTTTTATTAATTTTTGACCATCTACCAGTTTCAATTTCTAATTCAAGGACTCCTAAACGCAACTTAGTAAGAATACGTCTATAATTAAAATTTTGTATATGCATTAAGTATAGTTCGATTGTAAAATTATATTTAAATGTCACATAATACTTAAGTCTGGAAAATAAATGAATTTTTGATGTTCAATATCAGTTAGACGAGTAGTTATTTCAGATATAAAAGCAACATTGTTCTCAACATATTGTTCATACCAATTATACCAAAACCTTTGAACATAATTTCTTCTTAATAAAGTACAACCAAGATTTATCGTTGGACTGTAATCTTCTTAACTGGAATCTATAACAACTGTAAATACAACTTTTACTATCTGCATTAATTAAACGTAACCAATAACGTAAAGCATTTCTAATACCAGCAACAGAAAGTGAAAATCTCCCGCATTCACCCATAACTGCCATAGTTGGAGCTGTGCTGCCTATTCCTAAAATAAATCTGCAAAACCTAGAGTGAAATTTTTCAATAATTGGTATGTCATTGATTCCCCAGATCTCACTGCTATACATTATTATTGGTACTATTTTTACATTAAAAATTTTGTTCCACAAATGTATTGGTAAGTTGCCAAATTGGTTATGTATTAATCGTTTTAAAGTAAAAAGAGCTTTGTTTGCTTTTGTACAGTTATAACTAATTGCATTCGTCCATGTGCCATTTGAATTAAACACTACACCAAGATAATTGTAAGATTTAACTACTTGTAATAAAACATCTTTATAATACAATTTTTCTATTTTTTTAAATTTTCCCCCATTTTTAAAAACGACAACATTACTTTTTTCAATATTAACAGTAAGACCCCATTTATCACAATAGACAGCCAATTTGTTTAAAGAAGATTGCAAACCAAAAACAGTGTCATTCATAAGAACAAGGTCGTCTGCATAAAGTAAATGGTTAATGAGAAAATCGCCAATTTCAATTTTATGTGTACGTTCCGATGTATTTAATATTTTACTTAAATCGTTAATAAATAAATTAAAAAGAAAAGAGGATAGAGGTGACCCTTGTTGAATACCAATTAAACATCTGAATTGATTACTGATAATACTTCCAACTTTTACATGGGCAGAAAGTTTGTCATACATTGAAATAATAATGTTAAGTATATTTTGTTTTAAACCTTCTTTCTTTAATTTAAATATAAGTAACTGATAATCAATTGAATCAAAGGCTCTTTTTAAATCAATAAAGGCAAAATATACTCTTCCTCTTTTTTTTGATAAATATTTATGAATTATTGTGTTTAAAATAAAAACATTATCCATGGCCCGATGACCCTTCCTAAAACCTGCTTGTTCCTGATGAAATAAATTATTATCTTCTGCCTAATTATTTAATCTAATATTTATTATGTAAATAAAAACCTTACCAAGTAGTGGAATCAATGAAATGCCCCTATAATTACTGGGATTATTTTTGTTACCCTTTTTGTAAATCGGAATAATGAGACTTGTTGCCCATTGGGTAGGATATATATATTCCCGTTTTAAATATCATGTTATAAAGTTTTGTAATTAAATCAATAACAAAATCTGGTGAGTGGATAAATATTTCAATGATTAGTATTTGGTGGGGCATGCAGGTCATTAGGACCTTTGTGGAATGTCCCTACCAGCAATGTATACTTCAGTAGGGTGGGGTATGCTGGTTATAAGGCACTATTGGAGTGATGTTAGACAATATATTAGTACATTGAAGCGCTTAGAGGCTTTGTTAAGGCATTAAGCGCTATATAACAACGACATGTTATTATTATTATTGTCACTTGCTTTGTCATGATTTATTTCTGTCATGTAATTATGTTGCGTGGATGGCCAACTGGCAATATGAAAGAAATTAAATTGAATTGAATTAAATTGAATCTAGCAGAAATCATCAGAGACGTGGCAGTGCCAGGGTGGGTAGGGTGTGTAGAAAAAAAAGAAGTTTGGATGGGCAAGTAATTAAATTTATGTGAAGTCTCATAGTCATATCCAGGGCCCTTATACACATCTAGATGTGTATAAGAGACAGGTATAGTTCGGTCAAGGTTTACTGAGATGGAAGGTTGGATCAGAAATAATAATAATAATAATAATAATAATAATAATAATAATAATAATAATAATAATAATAAATAATAATAATAATAATATTAAATAATAATATATATTTATTAACCATGGAAAATTAAAAATTGAACAGTAAAATTTAAATACAAAATATTAATGCTGTACTTCACTAATTCCATGAATACAACATGGAGAATACGAAAAAGTCAACATAAAATAGAACCATTATTAACATTAGAAAAATCAGCAAATTAAATGGATTAAAATACCCTGGCCTAGTAGACGGTAGGCCTAGCCTAGGATAGGCTAGCGTTGACCTCCTGTATTTTAATGCTAAACAAACATTTAGGCCTAGGCCTATAGACTTAATAGGAGGCTACTACATAATATGCCTATAATAATAGTAATTACATCATTCATAAGACATAGGCAGCTCGACTCCACCAGCCTGGCCTTGCATTTCACAACAGCCTTCTATAGACAAGTGTCACCGTCAGACAGGCCTTAATCAAGTGCCAAGGTCTGTGACCTAAATAACACGTAAAAGTTTCAAATAATGATGTGTCTGGGCCTAGCCTACTGCTCAGTTGGGCATCGAACAGTGGCTCCACAAAAAAAAAAAACCCTTCGAAGTATCAAAAACTAAAACCATATGAGGCCTATATTTCACGAAAAATGTAAATTAATAGTATTGTTTATTGTTATAAGTCTTGGCTATTAACAATAATAATGCAATTGTGATAAATGCTTGTGATGATGGATCAATAAATTTGAAGATAGTGAATTGTCATTTAGTGTTTATAATGAATAATGTGTTGTTTCCTATACGTACCCTGTCTTGCAAATTGACATTGCGTGCAGAAATCATCAGAGATTTTCTCATTTCCTGTGCATAGCCGAGTTTTCCAATGTGATGTAGAATACACTCATCAAAATACTACACAATGAACAAGGAATATGAAAACAGAGAATACAACACATCATCTCTTTAAAAATATTTTTTAAGTAATTTAATTTTATGGAGTATCTAATTAAAATTGCAATTATTGAATTCAGTGCTCAATACAGATCAAAACAAGATCAAACACGATTGTGAAATTTTCATGTAAAGCTGATTTTCAGCAAACTTATAAACCAATTTTTTTACATTCATTTTGCTGTATCACACAACATGGACGCCCTATGTTTTGTACATGTTAAAAATCATCATTTAAAAAAACAAACAATTAGGTATTGTATTTTTTATGGAAAATTTAATTAAAAGTATAATTATTCAATCCAATGTTCAATGTGGACCAAAACAACACCAAACATGAATGGAAATTTTGTATGTAAACATGATTTCCTGCAATTTTAGAAGTTTTTTTTTTTGGCCCATGATGAACTGCTGCCACTCAGCCAAGCAATGTAAAGAAATGTTATTTTTACACGTTAACGATGCGGAAATTTAAACAATAAATGAACAATATTGATCGTAAAATACAATAAAATATCATATTTATATTGTGGATAATGATTAAAATATGTTTTAAGTGTAATAAATTGTTGTTGTTAGGTAACAATTGATGTAGAGTGGTGTATGGTATGTTGTGTATAGATGCTGTGTTGTTGTATTTTGTGTGTTGATGTCGTAATTGTAATGATACATAATTCTACTCACCGGCTGCACGTAGTCCATGGCTTCTGCCGTCGCTGATTTCAAACTCTCAGCGACGACACCACGTGGTGGGCTGAAGAACACAATCTCATATAATAACGGGCGGCCGAACTACGAAAACAACAAAATACATGATAACAAAACACATTCAGCTATCACACATACACAAAATATCACATATAAACACAACTTAATCACATCATATAATTACATTAAATAATCACAATCAATCAAATATTCAAATATTATTACAAATTAACTAACAATTTAAAGCTAAATCGTTTAAATTCGTAAATTTTAGCATTTTTTTTCTGAACGCTTTTCCCTATTCTTTTGCATTGAAAATTTTTTAGTTCATTTAGGGTTTTGTTCAGATCATAATTTTTTTTATGAATTTTGTATTTTTAACATTCTAGATATATTTCTTTTGTATAAAGGTTTGAAAAGAATACAGACAATGATATGTTCTGGCTGTTTTTGCAGATTCAGGGCAGCGCTGTCCCCTATTCCTGTAGCCGGAGGGTCATGGTGATGTCTTTCCCGATCCTGACTCCACACCCACCAATAAGATTCAATAAGATTCATTAAGATTCAATAAATTCAATATGATCCATTAGATTTAAGTTATTTGAATATGTCTCTTTGGAGTTCTTTGTTAGTTTACTTTTTTCTTTATTCCTCTCTGAAATTGTACCTTGATCAATCACTTGAATTTCATTTGTACCCTGTTGTTCAAATGACAATAAAGAATATCGTATCGTATCGTATCGTATCGTATCGTTTTATCCACTAGCTAACATTTTTCTTTATCATTAGGCCTATGCTGACTTCAGAGAAAATTCCCTATTCTTTATCATTAGATACATAAAATCTGTTATCCCATTTGTTCGGAATCATATTTTTTTTGAAAAGCTATATTTTTAAGATCATATTTGACTTTCTTTTGATTAGAGTTTTAAAAGAAATCCAAGCACATATATGTTTTAACGACTAATTAACGATTTTACCAAGCTTTAAACCTATACTACTTTCAGACAAAATTTGCCTAATAGATACATAAATTCTGTAGGCCCATCTGATCGGAATCATATTTTTTTGGAAAAGCTATATTTTCAAATCATATTTGACTTTCTCTTGAGTAGAGTTTTAAAAGTAATCCAAACACATATATGTTTTAACGACTAATTAACGATTTTACCAAGCTTTCAACCTATGCTATTTTCAGACAAAATCTGCCTATTCTTGACAAAATCTGCCTATTCTTTATCATTGGATAAGGCCGGCCTACCATGGGCACGTCTCTGTTCGGAATCATAATTTTTTCGAAATATTATATTTTAAACCTCGTAACTGCCTTTCTTTTGATTAGAGTACAAATACTTATATATTATATTTATTAATTTAAAAAAAATTCAAAGCATCTTCAGACAAAATGTGTCATTCTTTATCATTAGATACGTATTCATAATTTTGTTTAGAATAAGAATTTGTTTTATATATGATATTTTATTTTTTGAATTAAAAAACTCAAAAAGTGTTTAAACTAGAATACAATAACATAGAATAATTATTTCGTTATCAATTACATGGTACAGCCTACAATGTAACGGAGTTACTATACAGTATCATGTAAGTATTGTGCAGTTGTTACTACATCAACAAAAACATCAAAACTCTAGAGGGCGCCATACTAGTATTTTTGGTTATCAGATGATCGTCGCTCGTCTTTACTGTGAAACCGAACCAATAGCTAGTAATTTAATGCAGGCCTATTTTAATTTTTTATGTTTCTTTACTTATGTATGCACCATGCATTTTGTATGAGTGCTAATGTATCAAAGTGGATCCAATAATTAATTAATTAACTAACTAACTGACTAACTGACTAACTGACTAACTGACTAACTGACTAACTGACTAACTGACTAACTGACTAACTGACTGACTGACTGACTGACTGACTGACTGACTGACTGACTGACTGACTGACTGACTGACTGACTGACTGACTGACTGACTGACTGACTGACTGACTGACTGACTGACTGACTGACTGACTGACTGACTGACTGACTGACTGACTGACTGACTGACTGACTGACTGACTGACTGACTGACTGACTGACTGACTGACTGACTGACTGACTGACTGACTGACTGACTGACTGACTGACTGACTGACTGACTGACTGACTGACTGACTGACTGACTGACTGACTGACTGACTGACTGACTGACTGACTGACTGACTGACTGACTGACTGACTGACTGACTGACTGACTGACTGACTGACTGACTGACTGACTGACTGACTGACTGACTGACTGACTGACTGACTGACTGACTGACTGACTGACTGACTGACTGACTGACTGACTGACTGACTGACTGACTGACTGACTGACTGACTGACTGACTGACTGACTGACTGACTGACTGACTGACTGACTGACTGACTGACTGACTGACTGACTGACTGACTGACTGACTGACTGACTGACTGACTGACTGACTGACTGACTGACTGACTGACTGACTGACTGACTGACTGACTGACTGACTGACTGACTGACTGACTGACTGACTGACTGACTGACTGACTGACTGACTGACTGACTGACTGACTGACTGACTGACTGACTGACTGACTGACTGACTGACTGACTGACTGACTGACTGACTGACTGACTGACTGACTGACTGACTGACTGACTGACTGACTGACTGACTGACTGACTGACTGACTGACTGACTGACTGACTGACTGACTGACTGACTGACTGACTGACTGACTGACTGACTGACTGACTGACTGACTGACTGACTGACTGACTGACTGAC